AAACATGCGTCCAGGGTTTAAAACTGTATAAAATAAGTTGTTTTGGTGTAATTTGAGAGATGTGTATCATTTAAAAAAAAGATAAAGTGGCGGGGGAGACGCCAAATATTCCAACTTAAATTATTGTATGTTAATTAATTATTAATTACTATTATTAATATTAAAGATATTTATATTATGATTTTTTTATCTTTCCTTAAATCAAGTACTTTATAAAAGAGATATTTTATTTTTATTAGTGAGAAGGGAATTCTGAATTAAATAGATATTAAATTTAAAACAAATTACAAAAAAAAATGAGGAAAAATCGATTTATTATTAAAAAATGTGGATGCTTCACCTTGTCACGTGCTAAATCGTATTTTAAAAAACAAAATATTTACTACTTATGTATGCTGTTTGACCGGAAAAAAATAAAACGCATACATGGTCTTTTAAAAAACAAGGCCAAACGAAAAGATTCTGATTCTTCATCTCACTTGACATTGACAGTGAGTAAATAAGGTCTGTACAACTTATTTATTTGTGTTTACCAAGGAAATTATAAGTAATTTTTATGTATGTTTTAGTAGTAGTTGATTTATATACCACATGGTCAAAAAACAGCGTCATAGTAGTCTTTAAAAAATTAATCGACGATAATTTCTGTCGGAACAAACGGTGTTTATTATATTTAAAATAATTAATTAATAATTTATGACTCATAAAGAATTGACGAAAGGCCATTATGAGTAATAATTTTCTTTCGATCTGTATATTAAATAATAATATACTGAAACGCTAAACATGAAGAACAGGGACACAATGTAGAAATCGTGTCATTGTCTATGGATTCCACCACAACTAATTTATATTGGCTCTTGGATGATTACAAAAAGATCTAAAATGATTTTATAGCTTCCCGTAAATGCATTTTAAGTACAATTTGCACAACGAGTTAAAAACGCACGAATTTCACATTAGGATAGATATGGCTTTTCCATGCAACGCATTTTTATCAGTTGCATTTTAGTACTGACACCACGATAATTATGTTTAAACTCATGTAATTGTATATTGTGAAAGATATTTATGACAAACAAGTACTTTAAAGTCATAACCATTAATTACGTGAAACATTTTTGAACATTTTTTGACCGATGTTTCGTTAGGCAACCAGTATTTCTTTTATATAATCAAAATTGTCACTCTAAATTTTACATAACCAAATTGTCATTCTAAATCGCTGTCTTTTTTTAGACAGATGTCATTATTCAATTCATTATTTGAATTCTCAGAACGTTGTTAACAAAAGTTTTCTTAAAATAAAAATTTAATCAATCACAATTGTTGAATCTCCATCATTTACCGGATTAATAATACAGAAATTACAGCTCAATTACAAACAATTCATTATTTAAAGTGATTTACAGTAATTTTATTAAATTATACGAATATTCTCGTTGACTATTGGTTTCAAATAAATATGACAGAGTCCTCTAATGAAAATGCGAGTTACTAACTCTAAATTCCAATTCTGAGCTGGCAAATGGGCTAGATGCTTTACCAAGATCGTTATTCAGAAGCTACAAACCTATAGATGAAAATATGCATGAAATCAAGTCGGTCAAGTTTGCCCCCCGTATTAGAGAAAATTCCAAAATAAATACACCACTATTTTGCACACATTTTGCACAACTTTGCACACCATAAATGATATTTTGCACACTTACCTAAGAGAAACCAGAGCCGTTTTTTAAACGGGGAGCAAACTTACCGTTCCCCCCCATTTGTTACGAAATTGATTTATATCTATGTACAGGGTGGGTCAAATTCGACGCTTTTAAATGGAAACACCCTTTTCTATAGGAGAAAGAAGAAAACTAATATCGGTGTCTGGAGCTCAATTTTCATCAAAAACATGATGGTGAAAACCGCACATCAATATCTGTTACCGTTTCGGAGTTACGGGGTGTTTTTAAAAAATTTGCATTTTTAACAAATCGCTGTAACTTTTTTGCTATGGAAAATTTGGTATTTCTATAAAAACATTTCCAAAGCACCTTTTTACGTAGAATTTAATGGTATAAGTATAATTTTTTTAAAATTAATATTTTAAGAGTTATCAACAGAAAAATTGATTTTTTAATTGGGACACTCTCTATATTTTTAATTAACTGAAAAGAATTTAAAATTACCTTTCCAAAAATATAGCACACTTGATATTTTGTTATAATCCCCTTCGAAATAGAGTATTTTTAAAAGTTCGCCACTTTTAACTAGTAGGCTTTGGACCCCTTATTGATGATATGCCCTTATGGAACTCGAAAACATATTTTTCCAGCAAGACGACGCACCGCCTCTGAACGCTGAAGTGATCAGCAAATTTTTGCAGCCAATTTCAAGAATAATAATTGTATAGCTAACGAAGATCCCAGCCGTTGGCCGTCGAGGCCGCCTGACTTAGTGCCCATGGATCTAATCCTATGGATATATTTGCGGAAGAATAAAGGTTCCTTGTTCTTCCGTATAATCTAGACAAGAATTAGAAATACTTAGTAGTTATGAGAGGGTACCTTTCACCCCCCACTGAGTTAACGAATTCCGCGATGAATGTTCAAAAACTGTCCCGCCTGTCCATAACAGAAGACAGTCGATATGTCGAACACCTGTAGCAAAATCTCATGTCTTGGTTATTTATTTTTTTTTGTTATTAGATATAGTTTAAATCTGTTGATGTTGGTTAAATATATTTTAAATTGTTATAAAATTCTGCATCTCTCATCTCTCATAGCAAATATTATTTCCGTTTTAATTGATGCTCACAGCTAGATTTTTTTTTGCATTACAGCCGGTGCCGTTCAAAACCTACTTATTTATAGCGGGCGAATTTTTATATACTCTATATCTCGAAGAGGAATCGAGCAAAATACCAAGTGTGTTATATTTTTGGAAAGGTAATTTTAAATTCTTTTCAATAAATTAAAAATATACAGGGTGTCCCATATAAAAAATCAAATTTTCTATTGATAATTCTTAACAACCATTCCAAACCATTAAATTCTGCGTAAAAAGGTGCTTTGGAAATGTTTTCATAAAAATACAAAATTTTTCATAGCAAAAAAGTTACAGCGATTTGTTAAAAATGCATATTTTTGAAAAACACCCCGTAACTCCGAAACGGTACAGATATCGATATGCGGTTTTCACCATCATGTTTTTGACAAAAATTGAGCTCCAGACACTGATATTAGTTTTTGTCTATCTCCTATAGAAAAGAGTGTTTCCATTTAAAAGCGTCGAATTTGACCCACCCTGTACATCGATTCGGCTAATTTTGCACAATTTTGCACACCTATTTTTAAATTTGGACACCCTCTCGACGAAAGTTATAAGGGGTTGAAAATTTGAAATTTCCCCCCCCATCTGTGACTAAATTGAATTTTGTTTATATCAAATGAATCGGCTAATTTTGCACAATTTTGCACACCTATTTTTGAATTTTGCACACCATCCTTATTAAAGTTATGAAGGGTTGAAAATTTGCAATTTCCCCCCATCTGTCACGAAATTGAATTTTGTGTATATCAAACGAATCGGCTAATTTTGCACAGCTATTTTCGAATTTTGCACACTCTCCTGACAGAAGTTATAAGAGTTTGAATATTTGAAATTTGTCCCATTGTGTGTGAAATGTCCCATTTAAGAAAAACATAAGTATGAGTCATATTTCGAAAATAATAGATCTCAGCGACGTAAAGAACGGCACGGAACTTAGATTTCACCTTTTCGATAATTTATAGCTTGCATAGAAGAACATTTATGAAACTAAAGATTCTACACACAGATTTGTCCTAGCCCTCTTACTTCTTGAAATACCTGGTAAATTTGAAACTTCTGCATTTTTCGACAACCCTCATGTCTCGGTTATCTTATAACTTATCGAAAAGGTGAAGTCTGGGTTCCGTGCAGTTTTCCACGTCGCTGAGATCTATCATTTTCAAAGATGACTCATATTTATGTTTTTTTTTTAAATCGGACAATTCACACACAATAGGACAAAATTCAAATATTCAAACTTTTATAACTTTTGTCAGGAGAGTGTGCAAAATTCGAAAATAGCTGTTCAAAATTGTGCAAAATTAACCGATTCGTTTAATATAAACAAAATTCAATTTCGGCGCTGATGGGGGGAATTGCAAATTTTCAAACCCTCATAACTTTAAACTTTAATCAGGATGGTGTGCAAAATTCAAAAATAGGTGTGCAAAATTGTGTAAAATTATCTGATTCGTTTGATATAAACAAAATACAATTTCGTAGCTGATGGGGGGAAAATTCAAATTTTCAAATCCTCATAACTTTAATCCTTTAATCAGGATGGTGTGCAAAATTCAAAAATAGGTGTGCAAAATTGTGCAAAATTATCTGATTCGTTTGACATAAACAAAATTCAATTTAGTCACAGATGGGGGGAAATTTCAAATTTTTAACCCTTTATAACTTTCGTCAGGAGGGTGTGCAAAATTTAAAAATAGGTGTGCAAAATTGTGCCAAATTAGCCGAATCGATTTATATAGAAATAAATTAATTTCGTAACTGATGGGGGGAACGGTCAAGTTTGCCCCCCGTTTAAAAAACGGCTCTAGTTTCTCTTAGGTACATAAGTGTGCAAAATATCATTTACGGTGGGCAAAATTGTGCAAAATGTGTGCAAAATAGTGGTATATCTATTTTTGAATTTCGTTTAATACGGGGGGCAAACTTGACCAACCTCATGAAATCAAAGTTGGTACAGTTTCAAGTTTATTATAGTGATTTTCTTAGCCGCGTATGGCACGCGTATCTTTACCCGATGTTGCAACAAGCTTATTTTTTATTGAGGTAGATTATCACGAGATAACGGGGTTAAATTGTTTTAGAAAGGGGTAGATCTACCCTGAATGGGGTAGCTGTGGCAACCCACTAACCCAACGCGCGTAAAGAAGTTTCACTTAAAAAAAATAGTTTCAGAAACTCACCTGTGAATTGATGATAATCGATCGTGATTTTGGTTCAATGTGATCGCACAAGCTTTGTGATCCTAACCAGTACTGATTTCCCCAATACCATCCTGTAGAGTATTTTCCACTAGCATCATCCACTGAAAGAGAAAAAATAGGTTAATTATAGTGAAGTTAAAACGTAAACTGTGTAAAATTGTGAATATACAGGGTGTCCCAGAAATAAGTGCAAGTATTTTAACTGACAGTATAGTTCAACCCCAAAAACACGCCTATGAGTTTTTTTTCGCGAAAAAGAAAATCAAAAATTCGAAATTTTTTGACAAATGTTTTGGAATTTTTTTTAGTTTTTAGTTAAAAAACATATTTCTTGATAATATGGCAACATAGGTATTAGTTTAAGTTTGCAAGAAAGAAAATCCAGAAAAGATCCGGTGGTTCTCAAAATTTTAGCAAAAATTTTTTTTTTGAAAATTAAATCCGTTGTAAAATAACTCCGTTATTTTGGACTTATTTGAAAGACGATAAAGGGAAAATATGTTTCTTTTATTGAGATTTACCACCCCTTAAAATACTTGCACTTATTTCTGGGACACCCTGTATAGACATTTCATCTGATTATGTATTTATGTTAGAAGTTTTACTAATAAATGCGGTGTATCATTGCTGCTATCAAGAACAATTGAGTTTTTAAAGCAAGAAAACATCGAATTGTTGGACCATCCGTCATACAATCCCGATTCAAGTCCTAACGACTTTTTTACTTTTCCAAAAATTAAGAATGAAATGCATGGTCAAAGGTTCTAGTTTTCATAAGATGCAGTCAGCGCCTTCAAAAATGCAGTTTGCAGAACCAGCAAGCCAGTTGATTAACTGCTTTTAGTATTGGATGCAAAAATGCATTTCTCTTCGTGGAGAATACATAATACATCGAAAAACAATAGTTTTTAAGATTATCTACAGGGTTGTTTACCACATACGTCACGGAGTATTGTAGCTAGACGATTAGATTTTTACAAATTGTAAGTTTTGGGTTCGTTGAAGGACTATTAGAGCTACAATTTAAAAATATTTTTACAATATACAGAGTGTCCCAAATAAGTAAAAAATATTATAATTGTATATTTTTAAAACGGAACACCTTGTATATTATTCTATTTTTTGATACTACTATTGAAATAGAGGTAAATTTGATTAAGGTTTAGCATACTTAAACCTTACCGTTTTTTAAATATTTCCAATTTTATGAAATTGCAGTAAAAATTTTAAAGCTTCATTTCTCCAACGGTATCTAAGTTTTTAATACTAAATATTTACTGAAGTTTATTTATTGACAAGATATTGTCTTGCAATAATAAACAAAATACTACCTTATACAGAGTGTCTAAAAATAATCTAAAATGTCATTATTCCATGGGTATAGTGATAAATGAGGTCTAAATAAGAAAATGCATTTTCTACGAAAACTTGAAGAGATAGGTAAAAAATGGTATAATACAATTTGATAGACAATTAAATTGTGCATCTGATTCATGTAAAATATACAGTGTGTTAAATTCAACAAGTTATTGCTGTTTAAAGGTAGTAGGTAATTATTTAATATAAATTTTTAGACCCTCTGTATAAGGTAGTAAAATTTTTATTATTGCAACACAATATCTGATCAATAAATAATCTTCAGTAAATATTTAGTATTAAACTTTGATACCCTTGGAGAAATAAAAAGCCTTAAATTTTTTACTGCAATTTCACAAAATTAAAAATATTTCAAAAACGGTAAGGTTTAAGTGTGATAAACCTTAATCAAATTTATCTTTATTTCAATCTTAGAATCTCAAAAGAGAATAATATACAGGGTGTTCCATTTAAAAAAATACAACTATAATATTTTTTAATTATTTGGGACACTCTGTATCTTGTTAAAATATTTTTAAATTGTAACTCTAATAGTCCTTCAACGAACCCAAAACTTACAATTTGCAAAAATCTAATCGTTTATCTATAATACTTCGTGTCATATGTGGTGAACAACCCTATATATTCAAAATATGAAAGAGAAGCCTAGTTTTAAGGATCAGATTAGTCCTAGTTATTTTAATAATAAGTCCTAGCTTCGTCCTAAATTATCTGAAGAATGTGAACCATCAGTATTAAACTCATCAGAAGATCAATGGCAACCACAATTTCACAAAAATCGCCCATAAATTAGAGCGTCGAACGAGACGAAATCATCGTGTTTGGCGACCTTCTTCCACTGAAGAATTTCTCGCCGCACGCCTCCCTGAGGATGATGTAACGGAAGACACGTAACGTCGGGCGCGGAGATAGTAAGTAGTTCGGTCGATCTGTGACGTAGTTGTGTGTGCTGAGCGCGAGAAAGTGAGCCGAATGGTTTCGATTTCGACGAAGATGACCCAGTAACACAGTGTTTGGCCTCGTGCGAGACGAATAACCATCGATATGAGAAGAAATTTGTTAATATATGTGCTGGAAAATGTAAAATTGAAGATGGGATTGTTATTTATTGAATTATTGCATTACTTTCAGTTAAGTTTTAAGAAATAAATCTCTATAAAAAATAAAATACTATTCGTCGGTATTTATTTAGTTCGTATTTTTTAATTATCTGTAACTGGTCCAAAATAGTAATATTTTCCGGAAAAAATTGGGACTGTTCTCTTCTGTTCACTAGCAGTGGCGTGCCGTATAAGCGGCACGGGGGGGGGGACCATTGCTCCCTCCGCCCTTAGCTGTGACTAAGCGACGCGCCCTAATGAAATCGCAAAATTGAACGTACAATCTAACTATTCTCATTCTACGATCACGTTATGGTCAAGTCTTTTTATTTGTTTGCATTTTCGACATTTTCCTGACCAACACTACTTCTTGTAGAGCTTAGACATGATAGTAATAATCTTCTGACAAAAGAAATTCTTCCTTTTATTATGACAAACCATTCAGATGCCTCATATCCTGCTCTCACTGTTTTGTTAAAAATATTTTTCACCTTACCCTCTAACAGCGCTGGAGCAGAAAGATCAATTAGCAGGTTAAATAAAATTTTAAATTTCCAAAGATGTTCAATGACTCAGGAAAGGACAAACAACTTATACTGAGTATCGAATCGGAAAAAGCGCAATTAATCGATTATGATAAGTTATTAAACAAACTTAAGTCTGTAAAAACAAGACGCTTAAAATTTTAATTAAGTAGATAGTTTTATTTTTTGTTCATATTTTCCCTAGTAGTACAGTAATGTAATAATATATGAATAAATATACATCCCAATACAACCTCTATAATCCGAAGTACTGTATAATCCTATAATCCAAGCGCCCCAATCGTGTCAAATGAACCATAATCTGAACACCTTGAATTCGGCAATTTGAATTGCTCTACATGTACCCGGCGCCCTCAACATAGCTCGCCTACCCCGCCCTTTTACCCACGGCACGCTACTGTTCACTAGAAGAAATGCATTCTAAAAGACATGAAGCACTTAGGACTCATTAGATCCCTTATGGTGATTAGGGTACAAACAGAGTGAGGCGATGATCATCTCGACGCGATGCGCGCCACTATGCTCGCCACGATGCCAGCCGCGATCCGCGATTCTTTAAATCGCATGCCGCTGCGCACTTACTGGCCGTCTTTAAAACAGTGCGCGGCGGAAGCATCGCAGCCAGCATCGTGGCGAGCATCGCGGCGAGATGAAATCCTCCAGTTTGTCCCTTATGCATCCTCTCTCGGCAGAGGCACTGTATCTATTTGGTTGGTTGATTAACCATCCAATTCTACCAAATCTACCATTAGCCAATCTACCATTACAAAATAATTTTATAATGGTAGAGTTTCACAAGAAGACTAAAATTTTATGAGATTTTTGATGGAAATTTATCTCAGATATGTTACCACAGACCATCAGAGTCGTTGGTATATCTGATGATCATACAGACCAAAGGCTGCAGCTAGTTATTATTACGTTACTGATAAGTCCCGTAGTATAGAACTGAAATGGTCTATGCCGGAAACCCTGCGACCTCTAAGGTAAATTGTGTGTGTCCTCTTTCGTAGTTGGGACCAAGTTCTCTATCCCTGTGTCCCATACCAGTATGTGCAGGTCTTTCCTATCCAGGTATAGGATGGACGCATAGTTTCTCCAGTTCTAGCCTTGCTTTCTCAAATAGAAAGTGTCACTTGCAGTCTAGAACCTCGCAGTGACATATTGTGTACTCTGCTGTTTCAGGATCTTTATCGCAGATTATGCAGCAAAGACTTTCATGATATAGTTTAGGCTTTTTCGGGAGCCACTTGGCAGCCATATATGCTCTCAAGAAACCTGTTGTAGTCCACACTTTATTCCTGTTCAGCTTGAACAGTAGTGGTTTTAGAATTAGGTCCCTGGATAACACACTTTAATATGCCCCCGTCTGTTTTTCCAGTGAACGGTCTGCTTTTTCTTAATCCAGAATTTTACTGCCCTATAGGCCATACATTTGGGTGTTCTCAAGATGTTAAGGAAGACGACTGGGAAGCCGTTATGGCCTGGTACCTGGAAGTTTTTAATTCTTTTCCTTTCTGCCAGGGTACCAAGTTCATCCAGGTATAAAAAAACTAAAAAAATTAAACAATAAAGATAATGTCAACCGAACAAATATGTTTTTTCTGATGTCGATACGTACAGAAAATATTATCCAAGAAGAGAGTTTCACTGCCAACATTTTCCTACCTTTACACTATATGTAAATTTTGAGTTGTAAATAAATTATGAAAACGGTACATAAATCGTAAATTTTTATGGTTATCTATTACCAATCACTTATAAACAATAACGTAATATAAGTTTATACAAAGGCATAGTCATTTACACATGACTAATATTAAGAAAAGTCTACAATGATTATGAATTATCACATCTTACTAAAGCTTCCTACAAATCAGCATACAGACTAATAGAAATGTGTGATATATGGGTGACACCGGCGACATACATTCACCGGCACGAAGAACGGGCATCTTTTTTGCACCACCACCTTGGTGTAATTTAAAAGTTTATGTATTGTGTTCTAGTGAACCGATTTTGATGATATTTTAAACAATTTGTAAGATTTTGATGATATTTTAAACAATTTGTAGCTAA